CGACCCCCCCGTGGGGGGGGGGGGGGGGGGGCGCCGCATCATAAACCTGAAGACTCCCCGTAGATGAGTATCGGGTGCCGAGTACACCAATAATCCATTCAACCAGGGACCCGACAAACAACACTGCCTTTGTTTACTTGTTTCTTTCTTTGTTTGTTTCTCACTCTCGGTCCTCCATCATGAAGATGTTGTGGCTCTTCAGGTCGCGGTGGATCACCGGCTCCTCTCGGCTGTGCAGGTACAGCATCCCCTCAGCGACGTCCACCGCCACCCGCAGCCTAGCCCAAGGGGTTAGCGGCGTCCCCCTGTCGTCGAGCACCTGCCTCAGGCTGCCTCGGGGGCAGAGCTCGCTCACGATCCAGATGGCCTGTACCAGCAGCAGCAGCAACAGCCAACGAAGTTGTTGTTGTTGGTGTTGGTGTTGCTGTTGTTGTCTTCACATTAAAAACCGTTCCGTTCTCTCTACCCAGTACCTTCTTCTGTCCGTACTAGTCAAACCCTTGACGGGATCGATTCCCGTGGTCACAGGCTAACTTACCCAACAAAAGGTATACGAAAATAAAATTAAGGGGTTGGCTAAATAAGCTCGACTCGTTGTCGAATGTTGGTCGAAGAGCACTTGCTATCCCTGTTGCGCCATTGTCAACGTTATGGCCGTTGGTGGTGGTGGTGGTGCTGCTGATGCTACTTTTTTTGCATCTCACAAGGTGTTGGCCCATCCCAAACAAACCAGCCACACCAAAAATCGAATCACAATCACGTGTTTGTATTGACGGAAGGAGTGAGACGGTCCGTGCGTTTATCTCAAAGCAGTCACAAGCGAAATAAAAGCTGTCTCAAGTCTCAAGCCCAACAAACCCGGGGGGGACGTGAGGATAACGCCCCCCCCAACAGCTACCAAATGGAAATGGGGGGAGGAAGAACTACCGGTAGTAGACAAGTATACGTACCTGGGAGTAGAGATTTCGAAGGAGTGCTCATGGGACGCACACATAGCGAAGTTGATTGGGAAGGGTAAAGCTCAGATAGGCAAGATGGACAAGATCCTTACGGACCCACACCTAGACACTAGGATTAAGAGGTGTATTCTCTTGAATGTGATTGTACCTAAGCTAGAGTATGCAGGAGAGGTATGGGAAGGTAACGAAAAGGCCGTCAAGCAGCTGGAAACGGTGCAGATGGCAGCGGCCAAGAAAATACTAGGATGTTCAAGTACAACGAGCAACACTGTATTGAGAGCAGAATTGGGAATGTACTCTCTTAAAACAAAGAGAGACATGCAGAAGTTGAATTGGCAGTACAAGGTAAGTAGAATGTCGGACGATAGACTACCAGCCATGGTTGACAAGGCAGCTTGGGGAAAAGCGACTCCAGGGAAGAAGGGAATCAGATGGGACAAGGTGGTAGAGAAGGTTTGGAAGGAGATAGGAGACGAGGAGGAGACGTTGGACACGGAAGGGTTCGTGGGGTTCAAGACGAAAGTCAAGGAGATGCTAGAAAGTAGGGAGGAGGAAACCCTTCGGAAGAAGGTACCAAGCGAAGACCACTTGGAGATATACGGGAAGTTGAAAGAAGGGATAGGGATGAAGACGTACTTGGACGGCCCCATGGACTACGCGAAAAAGCTGAAATTGCAATTTCGAGTAGGCGATCTGGACTTGCCAGAACGGAGGAAGAGGTATACCAGCCGTAGGAGAGAGGAAGAGGAGGATAGACACACATGTCCATGTGGCAAATCGGAGGAGAGTAGACCCCACATAGTTGGGGAGTGTGAGTTGTACAGGAAGGAAAGAGAGGATCTCGAGGAGGAAATGAGACAGAGAGGGTGTGACATGGACAAGTTTGGTAAATTAGACAACAGCGAAAAAACGATCGCGATAATTGGGGATAGATGGTGGGCACAAGAGGCCCTAGAGGACGGGGATAAGATGTGCAAGAAATTTTTATGGAGTTTGTGGCCGAAACGTAAAGAGCTCCCAAATGTCGGTGGTGTCTCT